ACTCTGGTGTTTTAAAGTGTTCTGGCATATGACTGTCAGACTATGACTGCCCCCCCCATCCCTCCCAACAGAAGTGTTTGAAATCATTTATTATTGTTATCATATTAGTCATGAAACACATGGTGTTGCATAAGATCTTAATGTCTTAGAGCATGGAATCAAAACTGAATAGAACACTTCTGTTAAATACGTTGTCAATGTTGATGTCTTGTTCCCACCATAGTGGCAACTTCAATTGAAGGGGATTATGTAGCATCATTACCATTTGCTTGCTCAAACTGGAGAGGTTTATACAGACTCCATCCCATACTACAACATATATAGACTTCAGTGAACAGAAGTCATAGCAATTCCTTTTCTTCTATGAAAAGCTATACACACATAGAAAATTGTGTAAATATCAACATAAAGTTGCAGAGACAGGAAGGGATAACAGAATATCAGCTGAGGTAGCTTGCATGTTTATGCAAGTACAATGTATTCTGCACATTATAAGCTTTTAAAATTATATATGCCATTGGATTACTATGGGTGTTAAGTGAAGTTAGAAGCAGTGAGTCTGCACCTGACAGGAAGATGCCAAAAGTTTTCTTATTAAAGCCCTCATACTATGATAACCATCATGTCAAAATACATGAAAATATATTCATAAAAGGCTTGAAGTACTGTAACAGAAACTGGGAGTGCAGCACATAATGTAGACAGAAACAAAACACTATGCAATTCTACAAATTAGTAGATGTCTGTCCTCCAGCATTCAGAAGTGCACGAGAAAACTAAATACTGAAGGAATTTGTGCAGTTAGATTTATACAGGTAATCTTACCCTTAGCATCAAGTTTCTCAAAGCTTAATTTTACGTTTTACTTCCTTCAAACATCTCAAGCATAGTTACATGCTACTTTAATAACCTGTTTTTCTTTAGCAATTTAGTTTTCAGAATGCTATAATTATTTCCTTTGCTATTTATAACTAATTTAATTACCCCGCATGTAATAAGTGGTACAGAATATTAACAGGTAAGAGGTAAAGATCCATAAACAATTCAGAAGAGGAGTGATCAAAACAGATGAACAGAAGTCAAACAATGTCTCATGAATCATGTTTCCCAAGAGTGCCCATTTTAGGTAGCTATAGTAAAATCACCCTTCCCATTAGTAGAAACAGATCATACCTGTATATTACTATCGTGACAGTGGAACAAAAAGGTTGATTAAGCTACATTTTATTTTTAACTCAAAATAAGCATGCTGTTAAATAATAAAACAGAACGAGATTTGCAGGGAAAAAATATAGTAAGTTACTAGATGATTCTGCAAGCATGATGAATAAAGTCATATTAAACTAGTACTAACTCAAAACTAAAACTACCTTCAGCAAATGACGTGCTCAAAAAAGTCTGTCCATTCTTTCCTCAGTCTCTATGTATTAGATTGAAGTGTGGCTCCATAAATATGGTGTGTAAATCAGGAAGAAAACTGATCCTATTATTGCTGCATCTTACACTAATATTTACCTTTTTAAAAAAACAAACTCAAAGATGCATTTTCCTGAGCAGATAATAAGAGCAATAGATAAGAGCTGATTTCCTTATTGAAGCGGATTTCAAGTGGTGGCTATTGAAGAAAATATTCTGCACTCTAATTTAAATAAAATTTGTTATTGATTGTCATATTTGTCTTCTAGTACACCAATTTGGAATGTATCTTGTATACATGCTATGTTAATATTCCATATGTTTTATTAGATCAATATTTATTGCCATGGAAGGATATTCCACCTTAATGGAAAGTCTCTGCTTCCATATATTAAACTGTAGGCAAAATGTTAAACTACACAAATATTAGTTCATAACATCTATATTACTACTTACATGTAGCAGCAACATTTAAATTTAACATAGAATAATTTTACTTAGTTCTGTAAATCAAAGTACTAAAGATGAAATGCAATTCATCTTATTCTGGACTTGTAAAAGCAGTGAACAATTCACTTAAACATCCTTCCCCTCCCCCCCCCCGTCTTCTTGTAGTTATTGGAGGAGAAAAGATAAGCACTTCTGCTTATTCCTACTTCCTCCTATTCATTAAAGACAGAGTTTAAACTACTAGTTTATAGGTAGATATCTAAGTGTAAATACATGTAAATGCCAAGTTATTTAAGGTAAATTGTAAATTTCACTTAGTCAACTCTCGCCAGTTAATGCACTTCAGTATAAAGTATATCATTAAATGCCTTTTTTTTTTTTTTAAATAGAGGCAGCCCATCATACTCATTGGCAATTTCCCATTTACAAGGTAAAATAAAGTATCTTCAGCAATCTTATGAGAATTGTACAGGTTGCACATGAAGAAATACTGGTTTAGATTTAATCTGTGATGATGTTCCCACCCCATAAAACAAGAAAATAAAAGCCTGCTAAAAAGATATTTTGAGCTTCTAAATGCTTTCTGAGAAGTGTTGGCCTCCCTCATAGGAACTTGAGGAGATGAACTGTAATGTATAATGAAGTCTTTCATTTGCTTAAGGGTTCATTCTCTTAATTACCTGGTAGGACAGTTTTGAAGCTAAACTGGTATCGCTAAAAGACAGTGATAGGTACTAGACACCCCTAAACTTTTGTGAAGTCATTTGTCAAATTCAACAGAATTACTGCAGACTCTACAGCAGTGTAAATATTTAAGTATTCATGGAAATTCCTTAATTTTGGGATGTGAATTATAAACAGACTGGCTGTTTTCCCAGTTATCCATTAACTCCAGCACAATAACAGTTCCTTTTTTTTTTTCCATTTAAAAAAACTGCAAACAGTGATATACAAGCCTGACACAAAATCTGTTGACTTTCATTTAAGGAGGCAAAGCTTCAGTCAGGAAACTAACAGTACAGCCAGAAGAGAAATACTTCTTGACTATAGAAATTACTAACATTTTAATCTTATGTTCATATCCATAATGGAATCCAAACACAAAGCTGTCACTTAGACTCTATCCTTTTTAAATATCAGGGGACATTCTCACAGGTAACTGCATCAGCAGTTAGTACTTTGCATGTCTATCCATTAACCAACAGATGAAACTGTAACGGAAGTCTGCTTTGTTCCTGCTGAGTTTTGTCTGTGATGCTATATACATCTTTCCCCATACATCTGAATAATGCTGTCTGCCTGAGTGATACTGAAGTATCTACATAGCTCCTGATCTAGGTCAGGCCAATTTCAAGGATCAATGCTATGACCTTTCATGTTCTCTTGGAATAAAAACATAACTTACATTAAACCAACTACAGTATATCTTAGTAGGCTTTCCTGAGTATTCTCTCTAGATATCATTTTTTCAGGTATATATTTCAGTATATTTTTCAGCTATATTTTCACAAGAAAGAGAAATACAGAAGCTATTCACTAATGTAGCAAATAGCTGCATCCCTTATTTACCAGATATTCCTTAATTGTGGTGACTGTAGTTCTCCTTCTGGCCTGATGTTATTAGCAAAAGATACAAAAACATCAATTAAAGGTGCTTTTAACTATCTTCACCCTTCGTTACATAATATACATGAGTAGTGGCATCCATTTTACTTCCTGTGAAGCAGGCATTATTTTGATAGCTAAAGGGGACAAATATACTCTGATTTGTCTCCCTGGTATTGTTAAAATCCTACACTATTAAATCTCAGTGATTCACAAAGAACTCACTATATTTTCACATGACTTCATCTAGTTGCAATAGAATACAGTTGCAACTGAGGTACATTTGTCTCCCTTTCAGTCCCTTAACTTCTTGGTCTGCTTTGCTCATTGCATTGTGATAGAAAGGATTAGTCTTTTATAGTTTACTGCAAAAGTTTGCATTTTAACTTTACTTTTCTACAGATTTTGAGAGTCAAAATGATTTTCCACATTGTTAAGCACACACAGCAGCAGCATTGAATTCACTCCACAATAAGTACTGCCCATGAGTTGTTTTTTTTTGTTTTTTGTTTTTTTTTTTTTTTTGTTTTGTTTTGTTTTTTTGTAAATTAAGGAAGAACCTCTTATCCTTGCAGCGTGGCCAAAGTATCCCTACTGTCAGTACTAAATTCAAAGCCCTAGACTGCTTAGGCATCACTTAATTTTGCAAAATGCTTTTTTTCCTGTGCTGACATGGCCTTCTCTAACAACACACATTTAAGGTTCCTTCCAACCTGAGCCTTTATATGTTTCTGATTCATTAAACACTTTTTCCATTGTATAACTGTTGACTTTGAAGTAAACACAGCCTAGACAGGGACTGCACTGAAATGATTTGTGAAGCAAACTGTGGTTCCAGTGTTATACAGGACACATAACAGTTCTCATGCAGCTTTAATATACTCTGCATTTCAGTGCTTCTAGACTCATTATGTAATCTTTCCACCACACAAGGCACGTTACTCTGAACAGCACAGAAACACTCTATTGCAACGTCTAGTGCAAGTACGTTCTCCAATGTTCTGTGGAAAAGTTCAAATAACTGCATTTATTACACTTGTGAATCAGTCTTAATTTGGAGGAAATCTACAATTTAACTTTGAATACTCAGTTTTAGTTTTCCAAGTTACAGTTTTGAGCTTCACAATTATATCTAAGGTTTTTCAAATTAATTTTGCTGAAGAAAGCAGAACTTCATGCTATAATCTGGTATTGTTAAAACAGTAAATTTCTTTTGTTAATTCAAGAGAGCACGTTGTTTTTATTCCTAGCTTCCAGAAATATTCAACTCTATTCACTACAACATCAGCTAATGATCCAATTATCAGGATCTGACATAAGCTATTTTATGTCATTAGTGACATACCTTGAACCATATGGAAGTTTTATATCATGCCTGTTATATAAAATTATATATTAATATAAAATTTAAGCTTCCTAAATAAAATGTTCTACGTGTTAGTACTTCTGCTTCAGTCATCCGTAAGTTAGGTTTGTATAGCCTAACATGACAGACAGACAGACCTTAAAGTGAACATATAACTTGTTACCTGTTTCAATTTCCCAAACATACACTGAATCATCTTCACATCCAACAATCAACAGATTTTCAATGGGGTCAAATTTGATCTTCTTCACAGGAAAGAGATGCTTTCTGGCATGTAGGAGACACTCTCTCTTCTGAAGGTGTAGAATAGCTACTGAGTGATCATTGCACACACAGCACACTATGCTGTGATCTTTAAACTGTAGAATAGATTAAGAACTTCATTATCAGTACTGCAAAAACAGCTATGACCACACCACTGATACAAGACTGGAGCAAGTTGCCTAGTGATATATTTCTTGAAACATACTAGTTTGGGAAAATATTTTATTTCAGCCTATTTCTCTGATGCATTTTTAGCAGACTAGCTGTAAAACTAATACACAAATAGGAAGATACACACCCACTCTGATTTTTCAAATATGAGAAATTTAAATACCATTAATCCACAGTACTTAGTCTGACAAAACAGTGATTATATAACCACATATATAATTATCTGCAGTTACCCTTGAAGAGAAAGTAGTAAAGAAATTAACTTAAGCCAAACTGTTAATCATGTGATATAAACTTATATCAAGTCTTAAGGCACAAAAGCAAAGGGCAGTATATTTCTAATGAAAAACAGATATGTTGCAGTTTAATTTAAAATTGTATGGAATTGATTCTGCAAAGCCTCCCCTTTCCACTAATAATTTTTGGTGAAAAGAAATTCACACTATGAAAAAAATTCAGCCCTTTAAGAACTGGTTCATCATCCAAGCAGGTATTAAATCCTATCTAGATTCCAGAAAAAGCACTAAGGAACCTTACAAACATTAAGAACTTGTGCCAGGCCTCTAGAAGGTATTCAACTGCATCATTGATGAAGGTCTTTTAGACTGCTTAATCTTAATGTTATCATTAAGAAAACTCTCAGCCAATTATAAGTATCAAATGTAGGCTAAGACAAATGAAATGGGGACAGAATTTGCTCAGTGATTTTTCATAAAGGGTTCAGTAATTTTTTTCTTATGAATTCTTACTTCAAAATTAAATTAAAACAAATCAAGTTTTTCTAAAGCTTATAAAACACAACTGTGTACATACAAAGGACCACAGAGATCTGTCAGGAACTAAATACAACCATATAGATTGAAATACTATTTAGATTGAAGTGCTATTGGTCTAATTCTTGTCTTACTACATTCAAATCTCTAACCTTATAGATCTACTTCTCAAGTCGAAAAGTGTAAACAGATTAAAATAGCTTGATAATCATAATATAAAAAAATGAGTAGACTGTTAAGAACTTCAATTCACTACATCACTTTTTTTAGCACTTTTCTGAACCTCTGAAATTACAAATTAACAAAAAGTCACTGCCTTAGAGTTAAAAATAACTTTCAGACAAGGCAATTGATTAGTGAATGTAAATCAAAGCCAAAATGTCACAGAAGTACCACCAGATAGTGTTTTCTTCTCATATATACAGATATATTTAACACACATGCATAAGTTTATATATATACTTTTATGTTTGTATCTATATTTGATACCTTTTATTATGTTTTTACTTACTTTGAAGTTTTCTGGAGATCGCAATAGCTCTATCACTGTACCAGCTTGCAGAATAAATTGGTGCAAGATTTCTCCAGTAAATATATTCCAGCAGATCACAACAGAATCCTGTCCCCCTGATAGAAGCCAGCTTGGATCAAACTTGACTGAGTTATCATGTGGATAAAGTAAACATGTAACTCTGCTACTATGACCATTCAAAACTTTATGAGACAGATTACCTGAAACAGAAGTATTTTGTTCTTTAAAGATTATTTTTATTTTAATTTAATAATAAACACATTTGTTAATACCTTGATTCAGAAAACAAATACAACTGGGAACTTTCATCCAATGAGTTTTAGGCAAGACATCCATAGGATCAAGCAATTTTAGACATGTTCCCAAAAGGAAGGACAAAGATTTACATTCTGAGATTCAGCTATTAAGATTTATCCTTTTCATTCCTTCAGTGGAATCATCTTTTTGAGGGAAAATAAAAAAGACTACTGCCCCTATCATGACATCCTGCAACCCAGGTTCCAGGTGTTTTAATCCCTGCAGCCATTCCCAGATTCCTAACAGTGCAAAGCACCTTGGTAGTACTAAACTGTGTCTTAGTAAGTTATCTACAGAGAGAGGGAAAAGTCCATCATAATCTTCCTTTTCTCATTCAGAGCCTGACCATCAACTTCACTTTCAGTGAATTTTTACAGGGCTCATTGAAGGGGATATTGGAAGTATAAAGTTGGCTGAGATAATAGGTAAAATTGTTAAAACTTACCTTTCGAAGACACATTTTCTAAAAGTCTTGCTCTTGCAGTTTTTAAGCCTAGTGTTACGAAAATTTTCCCATTTTCACAGCCACAGACAAGTTTATCAAGGCTGGGTATGTACACAGAGGAAGTCACAACTGCACTTTCAATTCCATATTTAGATGCACAAAGATGATCAATAATGCCTTCTGACATGGAAAGGTTTTTATCAAAGTTATCCTGAAGACTCCATATTGCTGCAATTGGGATCTCTGGAGTGAGGGTAGTGAGGGTAGGGGGTGGAGAGAGGCAGGAACATTTGTTTTAACTCAAAACCAAACCAAAATCAAACATACATTTTAGTTCCTCCATTATTTCCCTAACTTATCCCTTCTGCATCCTGAAGTTGGAAAGTCAGTTGCCGTTCCAACATTGGATCATATCTTCTCACTAAAAATCTTTAAGTATTATTACCTGTCCATGAAAAGCCACAAGTAGGATCAGCTAAGCAAATTTTGATGATGTTTAGTAAAGATGTGTTTATGGACAGGTGGAAATAGGGAGATTTGTTCAGTTATGGACACAATTTCTTTGTATTCCTGGACACTCTTGATTGATGTTGCTCCTAATTAGAGGCAATCATCACACTATATAGATGAGCACTAATTTTTCTGTTAAAGCTTTTTCCATAAGAATAAGCATTCATGAAAATTGACTTAAAGACATAACTAAAGAGACTGTACTGAGAGTATAGATTTTCCAGACCTTTTGGGGAACCATCAAACATTGATGCAGGGACATCAGGAACATGCCACAAAGTGATTCTTCCTGAAGCTTCACCAGAAAAAAGAATCTTATAAAAAGGCTCCTTCCTTTCGTTCAGAAAGCCCATAACAAAAGGAAAACTCTACCAAAGAAACCAAAACAATAGCAAATCAGTTTTCTGTTGTAGAAGAATTAATCTAATAATGCAATAATTAATTGAAAATTCAAAGTTTCTGGCATCAAAAGCCATAGAAATCTAAAACAAATAAAAGGTTGAACACTCAGATGTCACTAAGCTCTGCTCGGACCAGGTCTACTCTGTCTGGTGCAAGCCCCTCTGCTTTGCCAGTACCTTTGGCTGAGCCTACATCTCAAATGGAAAAACGTACTTGGAGAGATCCCTAGGTTCACTGCCTCTAAGTGAAGACCCCATATTGGCTATAAAAATTATCCATGCAGGAGGGTAAATACTTGAGCAGAAATATAAGAAAATAGTATTGGACATTATTAAAAATACATACATTTGGAGGGGGTTAACATATTATTTTCCTTCCTTCACTGTAACCCTCGTATTTGCATGCTTTCTGGTTATTCTCCCCCCATGACAAATGACCTTTTGGCATCTTTCCCCAGTTAGGATAACTGTTTTTAGATCAGAAGAATTGTTGAGGGTAACATGAGTTGTTCTATTTTCCTTCAGCTGAAGGAAAATGTCGGGTTTCAGAAAAGTGTGCAGTACAAATGCTTTCTAAGAAAAACACACATTTGACAGTGTTTCTAGTCAGGAGTAAAAAAAAAAAAACGTCTCCCTTGCATATCTTCAGAAACTGTTTAAAAACTTCCTTGAGTTCTTATGCAAATACAAAAATGCAATGCTTACAGGAATTAACCTCACATCTTCCAAAACCAATTTCAAACAAATTTCATAATATAATGGCTTTGATTCTGGTTTTGTTGCTTTGCTGAAGGGTTAGATTTATTTTTGTTCTATTTTTCCAAAAGTAAGAAACCTCCACACAGATTTTCTACTTCCTAACTTCTATCCATTGTTCAGTATTTCTGTCAGCTGTTCAGCCGTTTTTCCTGACCTATTTCACTCTGGTCACACAAGGCAAAACAGTGAACCAAGATACAGATTTCAAACAAAATAGCTTAAGTGAACTCATCCAAGCAGTAACTTGGAAATTTGAAATTGATATACCCTGCCAATCATAAGTTCTTAAACAGAAGTAAAGATCACGTACTTTAATTCTTCCTCTTCTCTTACCAAAGAAGCTTCTTCAAGGCAGAAGCCATAGTTCTGAAGAGTCGTGGGTATTTTATGCATTCTGAGTACTGTCAGTCTGCTCACAATGTAAGTTAGGCATTTGATTATGCCTCTGAAGGCTCAAGATAACAGTATTCTAAATAAAGTGTCATAGACTCAAACCCCTTCAGCTTAAGATAGGTATACATGGGAACAACCTATTTACACAATTTCACTGAAACATGCATGCATATCTTAATAGAACAAGAATGAAACAACTTGCTTACATTTTGCTCGCTTTTATTTACAGATGCGCAAATAAAAGGATCTAAAGCTATTTTAGACCACTTAAAGAAAAGCTCTGCCTGTATTACAAAAACAGAATAAAAGTCTGTAGATAAAGACACAGGATTTCTGTGAAAAATTGCCAGAGATTAAGACAATACATTATGAACATCTCCAAATTTACAAATAAGTGTTCAAATGAAGGAATGCCTTACTCATTTTATACAACATTCAGATTCGTTGATATTTAAACAATTTTTAGGGATCATTCTGGTAATTTACTAAAAACATACAGTAGATTTTGAAGCTGACTGTAAACCTTTATGAATTTACCTTATTTTCCTTCAGACCAGTAAAGCAGAGTAAATGAGGATAAACAGTTTCTTTCAGCACCTTCCCATCTGCAGGATATATGCTTTTAGAAAGCCCACTGCATAATTTAAAAATAAGAGATTTAAAGAGTCATTTTTAGAAAGCAGAATGGTAATGTCCAAGATCCACACATTAAATTAAAAGTTACCAAGCAATTACAAGCGACTTTGTGAAATCACAGCACCAGCTGCCCAAGTTCTACATGGCTAATCTTATTCCTGTGTCCCCTGCTGTGTCAAACAAAGGCTAAGGGCTGTCAAATTCAGGGTAAATCTTTGAGTGCCAAAGTGGTTTTGTTCAGGTTTTTGATCATTTGCAACATGCAGAGATTTTCCATAATAAACCTCCCAAAGTTCATCTTGTACCTGAACTTTTTGTGTGAATTTCCCATCTGAGCCCACCTGTTTAGCAGCTGGTAGATGTAACTGTAACCATCTTCTGTCCAGATGATCAGTCTGTAAGCTGCTAGTACTTCCCCACCAGCAAAACACTGACCACTTTTACTGAACTCAGTACACAGCAAGGAGAAGTCACAATAATCATAAACCTAACAGAGAGGAAAAAACAGTAAAATATAAACAAACAGTACTGTCTCATTTTAGTTCAAGCTAGTTTTGTGCAAAGGATCAGTAAGTAAAACATAAAAGGTAGTTTCACTACAAAGTCAAGCTAAAGACAGAACAGTTTTTATACCATCAAAATGCCATAATATCTGAATCAAAACATATCTGAAAGATCAACTGACAAAAAATAAAATTAAAGGCTTCTAGTATATTAGTAGATTTTAGATAGGGTTTAGGTTTTGCTTTGCATTTTTTATTATATAACTTAACAGACCAGTAAATATTAAAAATAATGATTTAGTATGTAACAAATATGACACTGAAGTCTGATAGACATTGAATACCTCTGTTGGTATTCTTTAAGAATTCTGTACAAGAAACTGCTAGTGTAACCAAAGCACATTTTAACAGAACAGATTTTCTTCTGTGTTTGGGAAACATTTTTATTTTACACAAATTGAAAGTAAAGATTACATATAAAACATATGTATAAATCCATTTGCTTGGAATAATTCTTGTGGCTTTTCCACTTATGAGGGAAAAAAAAAAAAAAAAAAAAAAGCTTGTTTCCTCTGACCTTGCCATTTTAAACCAGAACAGGATATGAGCAAGGCAAACTGAATAAGTTTGTGCATGCTCCTAATAGCCCCATGCAGAGTTCTCTTAGCCACATTCAATAATTTATTCCAACAGTTTGAAGAAATTCTCATTCTAAAATCTTTCTATGAATTGTTCGTATAGGAGCTACTTCATAGCTAACTTCCTCTATATTTTCATTACTATAAATTGAGTCACTAAGCACACATGAATCTTTAAAGAAAAAGAGAATGTTACTTCTTAATTAGAAAGGTATGTGGTATGTGTTTTAAAGCTATATGTTCATTAACAGACAAAATTTTAAAACAACTTACATCTATACCACTGCTTCGAGCAGTAAAATACTCAAATGTATAATCGAAATGTTACAAGAAATGTGTCTCTTGTGAAAACGTTATACAAATGTATAGAAAACAATGAATGTTACTTTCATTTCACATAAAACCTATCTGTTCTATATAGAAAACTTATCAGTGCTTTTGTACAGACTTTAAATAGCACAAGAGAAGTCTCAAGAATATCCTAAGTGTATTAGTTAAAGCTGACTCGAGTCTACATGCATGTGAGTTCCACACCCCACCCATCAGACAGTACTCCTTGGATCAGGTCCTTACTTTAATATAATTGAGCTATTAGCACAAGAGGAAAGTCACAACCAAGGTGAAAAATACTGAGTTTTCACACCACGGCGCAGACCAACTTTTAAAACACCAAATTACATTTTCAGTAACTACACAATCATCTGTTTTCTTACAACTGAAACAGAAAGTGATAGTCTGGGCAGTTTGTTTTTGCTGGCTACTGTTAAAGGTACTGAGGCCCTGATGAAACAAAGGCTTCTAATTACTGAGGACTTGCTGACTGTGGTTACCTCTGACATACTTAAACATTTCATACGCAATTTCTTGAACCATAGAGTCACTTGGATTGGAAGGGACCTTAAAGATCATATAATTCCAATACCCCTGCCATAGGGACACCTTTTACTAGATCAGGTTGCTCAAAGCCCCATCCACATCAGCCTTAAACTCTTCCAGGAATGGTACAGCCACTGATTCTCTCAGCAACCTTTTCCAGTGCCTCACCACCTTCAGAAGGAAGAAATTCTTTAATATCTAATCTAAATCTATTCTTTTAGTTTAAAACCATTACTCTTTGCCCTACCACTACACTCCCTGATAACATGTCTGAGTCTCTCTTCAGCTTTCCTGTAGGCTCCCCTTTAGGTACTGGCAGGTTGTAATAAGGTTCCCCCAGAGCCTTCTTCCCTGCAGGCTGAACAACCCTCCTTTTCTGCAGGCTGGAGAGGTGCTCAAGCCCCTTAATCATCTTTGTGGCCCTCCTCTGGACTCATTCTAATTCCATGTCCTTCTAGTATGTGTTTGTCTCCTTTTGAGATGCACTGCTGAGAAGGCCATAATATACCCCATTCTTTAAGTGTGAATAATACTTGAAATTGATGGGATAGTAAGTATATTTCATGTCAAACTTTTAAAGCAGAAATACTTTAATTAAAAATAAACACTTCATCTCAGTAAGGCAGTTAAAATAACAGGAGAGAGGACAGCACACATCTGACCATTAGTTAGCATTTTAACTTGAAGAAAAGTAGTATTTTCATGGACGAATTAATAAGCTTTTCAAAGTTACTAATAAAATTAAAAAAGAATAAGACTCAACAACATACCTGCCAGCATATGGAGGACACAACTAGAAGGAGCCTTTCCGTGTAAGTGCAAAACCGTATTGCTTGACAGTTTAAACAGTCCAGAGATTTTGATTCCTTTTCACATACATCTTGCCTCTCCTTCACAGCACAAAAGGAAAAAAAAGACAAGCAAATTATTCCAGATAGTTTTACTTTTAGAATAGAAAACATTTTTTCAATGTTTATTTGACATGTATTTTCAAAGCATATAACTACATATTATTGATTAAAACTGTAATAAGAGAACAACGTTCATGAGTACTATGCAGTAGGCTTCACAAGTACTGTGTAACCAGAAGACATTTTGCATGGCTCAGATCTTGATCTCACTTTACGTGATAATGAGCATGGAAAAGAACTAAAGGCAGGTTATGGATTGAACCTGCTGCCATGAATATATGCCAAGTATTCTTCAGTCAAAAAATAGCTACAACCACCCATAGAATGACATTATCAGATTCAAAATAGCTAAAGAATATTCTGCATTCCCAGTCATCCAAACCAAACCATTGTATTCCAATTCTAGCACCTGTGCATGTCAAGTGACAGCTGTTGATATTAACATAAAATTGAAGAGAATAAGTGAGTTTGAAGATGGACAAATAGGTCATGACACAGTTATAGTTTTCCAAATGAAGACAGTATAATAAAAAAAAATAGAAGAAAGACTAGAGGACCATCTTGAGAAAAAGCAATAATGAAGAGGACATACAAAGAGTAAGTTCTAAAAGAGCTTTTAATTTAAAGGAATGAAAAGGTTCCAAGAACTGAGTGACATTATTGAGACAGTAGAAAACCATTACAGCTTCAGCACCACAAAATATGGAAAGATATGAAGCCTGGGTAGAAGACTGCTGCATCAATTTAAGAGCTGTCCAGTGGCTCAAATAATTTTAAATTGCAATAGGGGGATTTTTTTTTCTCAGATTTTTTTTTTTTTTGAAACTTAGTGAGGACTAACATCTTCATCATGGAAACAAACAATACTAATCAATCTGGTTTAATGCACGTCCAAAAGATTCTCACTCATTTGTGCTTTGTTTCAGTACATCCCTCACTTGAGGATATTACTGTATTTTTTATTGTTCCAATTATCATTTCATAGCTCATACAAACTGACCTGTATGCTAGTCAGAGATGAAGATAGCTCCCATACTTTCAGAACTCCAGTTATAGACACTGCAACCAACGAGTCTTCTGTCAAGAGGCAACAGTGAGACAATTTGAAACCAAGTCCAAACAGTGCCTAACACCAAAGGAGAACCTTGGTATAGACAACGGTGTTGTACACAGTACTAAACCTGATGGATTCTGCAGGGTACTGTTTAAATGAAATCTTAAACAACTAATTTGTACATTGAAATACAAAGCATACAAGCAAATAGTGAATAACTATTTTGCTTTATAGATATGTTCCAATAGAAGATAAAATAGGAGTTCAACACCCAAAAATTTCCCTGATATTACCAAATTAATTTGTAATTACACATTAAAGTAATGAGTTGCTTACTATTGTAGAGACCATTTGTTTTTCCTTTAAGAAAGATACTGAATGAAACATGACCAGCATTAAAAGTATGTAAACACCTTTGAAGGTATCAACAATGAAATATTAACATCCTGTACAGAACTGCTCTGCAAAGCATTAGATATTTGTAAATCTAAAATTCTACTATCTATACAAAAAATATTATGTAAATTGACTTACATAAATACATATATAACATATACCTTGAATTCTTGCAGAGTGAACAATACACATACAATTTATCCAATCAGAAGACTGAGAAGACAAAGTGTGCAGAACACCCAAAGTTTTAGCATCAATAATAAGAACATCTTGATATTCTCCACAACAAAGAAGCCAGCCTTCACCTGTCATTCGGAATGAGCAATGGTAGTACTGTGCAAATGGAAAGAAGCATCAGCATACAGAGCTATGTAAGTGTGCATGCATATTTTTTACATTAAGCATATCATACTTGAATTTTTATTTAACAACAAATAATTACTAAAAATATATAGCACACAACATGAGTCAATACACCATTTTGCCTATGATACAAGTGTTCCACATATATTTACAACAATTCAATAGACATATATTAAAAGAGGTACTTAATATTAAAAGTGTTATCTGCCCTGCCTACTAGGATTTTTGAAAACAATTAAGGTGTTAGTTCTAATTATAAATTGCTAAGGAATTTGCTACTTATTTATCTGAGATAGTGTTCGGAGGTAGATGAGATCAAATTTCCATCACCAAGAGGTACATAAGGACATGGGAAAAAAATCAGGTAAAATACACAGAGGATTCATAATGAATTCTCAATTATTTTTCAGAAATAATTTCTGCTCTGAGATATTATTCAGTATGACACTAATTGCTTTGGTGTTCAAAAGAACAATTCTTTCTTAAAAAGAAAATAGAAGAAACACACACAGAAGAGTACTTGAGAACAGATGACAAAGGTGCAGAGTAATTATGAAGATTTTTTTGTGAGGTGTCTTATGTGCAAGCATATTTGCATTTCATGTTATATCTGTTTATAATTGTACAGAATTGCTATAAATACATAAGCAATAGCATGTAAAAAAGCTTTCAAGCTCTCGTTTTTTAATGATGTTATCATGTAGTCAGAGATAAATATTTAATAACAGTTTTTGCCTTTTGTTTAAAATCCTCTCTACTAATTTTAGCTAGATAATTCTCAGACTATCGGTTAAATAATGGAAGTCTAAAACCAAAAAGATAAATAAGTGAGAAGAGGATAACTATTGTCACAGAAATAAATAATCAGAAGGAAAAGTGTTTAGAAATAGGAAACTTTCGTAACTGGTACTCTTAAACTAGGCTAGAACAGGAATATTTGTATAGCCAGTCCTATAAGAAGAGATTCCACACTGCTGGTCCCACAAATGGTTAGGAGTTGACCCTGGTGTTAAGTTTCATTTCAAACTGCAAATATTGTTTGTACTGTTTGATATTTGCAATTTACACCAGAACCACCTAAGTTGAACAAAAGGAAACACTAAATAGGATAGCATTAACTAAAAGCAACATTTTAGGACAGTGATGTTATCAAAGAGTATGCACTACATTTCCCAGGCGATTACATTCTGTATGAGACTATTCTTTTTCAGGTCCTACTATGCCACACACAGCTATTCTTTAAAGGAAGAAAAAGACCTACAGCAAAACAAGTAAGCTATTACTAATACTTGAAAATTGAATTTTAAGAATAACTTTGTTCTAGTCACATTATTTTCTTTCCTATGAAAGTTTTCTTAGATATTCATATTTTCCTTTAGCCATATTGTCAATGCTATAGATGAAAAATAATTATCTAGCCATAAGTGGACTTCTCACCTCTTAATAGAGAAGTAATACTTCTGAAGTACTTGTTTCTCCTACTTGAAGGATAAGAATTAAGCTTCTGTTTCTGATCATCACAAAAGGACACAGATTATCAGATAATCAGCTAGGCCAGATCTGTCTGTTTCTTTGCAAACTTCTCCATAACTCACTATTAAGATCTAATTAAGCAACATACAGATCATACTGTGCTTCAATTACATAACTGGGGGCATTAATATGGTGTGTACGTACAAACAAAATCATATATGCTTTATTATAGACACATACAAATTAGAGGAATAGCTTTTTACGCTGTTTATACATACACATATCGGTGCATATATAAATAAATGTATACATTTTTAAGAAGTGATTCATATTTTTTATTTGGTAGTTTACCTAAGCTTTTCCTTCTTCCCTTTATCTTTGACAGTTATGTTTGAGTTTGTCACATCAACCAAAACATTGACATGAAAACAGTGTCTGCTGGAAGATTAGCAGAATGTGAATGCTGAATTCACCCATAGTTTAAGAGTCACATGAGAACTCAGTGAGGTCTCAGATTTTCAACATTTGCAAACTTAGTTCCACCAGACTTCCTCACTGAATATAAGCAGCATTTTAATTAACCAAGAAATCCCGAGTTCTCTTACTAATACTTTCAGAAATAAATACATCTCTCTGAATCGAATTCACACATGCTGGGCTCCTAAATAATACCTGTGCACACACATTTTAAACACCCTCATACTCCAGTATCTGGATATTTAGTGTACCTGATACAGTTAAAGCCAAAAACTTGGGATCATCTGAAGAAAGATTTAAAGCAGTTTGGCCTCTGAAAAAAAATACTCTGTAATCTGCCCCTCAATTCTGCAATGAAAGTACATTTTTGGAAGCAGTCTTTTAGAAGATAGCAATTAAGCATCAAAACCTCTCAGATGTGTTTGAAAATAAGATCTTATGCAAACTGGCTCACTGTATTTGCTTTGATTGCATGTAATTCAAAAATACATCAAAAACTAACATTAAACCTGAAGTTCCCATGCCATTTTAACACAGGACAAAAGTAAAGATTACAAGACAGTGGCATTTACCTGATGACCAAGCTTTATAATATATTAAGTGACATGGCATTCTAGACATCTGTGGCTTAAAATCAGTTTGATTTGAATAATGAATACAGATGAACATAAATTCTAGTTATTTTCTTAGAAGAAGGTCAAAAGGAAAAATAACAAAGCTAATGCAACAAATTTTCTTTGAAGTCTATTTTAGCTATGTTTAAAACTATGCTTCTGAAAAATCACGTTAATAAAGCAAACTCCTCTTGTAATGAACAGACATTCCATGAAAAGTTACAAAGTTGCTATACTTACATAGATTGCTGTGTGCCTATAAGGAAGCTTTGTGTTCTCAATGCACTGTCCACTAGCGACATTCCAAACACACATCTCCCTGCCAAAAACAATTTCATATTACTCTGTCATTTCCACTCAATTGGCTGGAATAATTTTGCACCAAGTTTTTCTTTAGTGCTGTACTTAAGTGCAGTCTGATCGTTCATGGGGCTTTTTGTTACAGATTACTGGGTAAGAAAATGTTGTGGTCATTAGCGGGGGATGACATACAGTATCTGTTTCTTTTTGTTTTGGTAATTATACCCTGCTACCTCACAGCAAACCTGACTTTAAGGCCAACTCTTGTCTACAAGAAATTGTAGGTATACTGCCATTACAGCTCGTCAAAGTGTCACTGTAACTATCATTCGTTGGAATGACATCCTCCTGAAAATGATTCATTTCACTGAACTTAAACCACGCGTTTTGAAAAACAAAAACTGAATGCTGCTGCAGAACAGGCATCGAGGGGAACTGATGCATTCTGTTAAGACTAAACAGTGCCACCGTGAGGCTGTTCCTGAACTGTCTTTACAGCGTGAATATCTGCAACAATTACAGCTGCACTTAGTTGCATTTAAGAGTAATGTTTGAGAAAGACTCACTAGCTAGTCTTCATCAAGACATTCAGCATGCTTTGAAATCAGAGTACAACAGAAACATAATCAATTTAAATGTTGTGTCATTTTATGATTTCTTTAATTATACTTTAAGACATTTTCTGTAAGAGGACTTGAACACATTACGGAAAAATATTTTAATATATCAGAAAAACTAAAAACATAAAATGACTTGCATTTTATTCTACACACCAACATTCACAGTTTGAGAAATTAAGAATATTACTTAATTTACATTTTTCAATTAAATGGGAGGAGTATAATCTATACCTACACAGTGTATCTATCTGTAGACCAAAAAATCATAATTTAATTCTCACACTATTAGTCACTTTAAAGCAATGAATTTCTTCTTGGTGATATCAGAATATGAAAATTAACTTTACCATTTCAGCTACATTGCTATCCATACATGCAAACATGCACATATTAGACTGGAATATAACTTCAGCTTCTGTATGTTGCACTTAATTTACTTTTTGTACCACAAAGGACAAGTAATGTAACATGTTGATAACCCTGTCCTACAGGGCATACTACATGCAGACAAAGTGAAATTTTGTTCACATCAGTGAAAGATTCTGAATCATTCTGATCTCAACATTTGCATATAAGAAAGTGTCTGATATTCATCCTTCTGGAATAAGTCGGTTACAGAAACACCCAAGATACTGACATAGGATTTAGGCTGGGGGGAAACAAACATCTTCCACACAATTTCCTCAATCCAAGGAGATGGAGGGTTGAAAGTGGGAGAGAACTGAATGATTCACAGGCCAGACAGTACAGTTGGACAGACTCCACATCTCCTGAAGATGAAGCTTACTGTTAGTAATTATCTCAACTTGACACTGCAACCTTCCAGTAAGCAGTGATAGATGCTTTGCCTGTATTCAGTACAGATGAAAGGTAAGCTATAATTTGGTAGAAAGTACACATTTAAAGGGGCCTGAAGACTAGTACTACCAATATCCATTCCAAGCAAGCCCAATAATATGTTCAGATGCAGAACCTTCAGAATATGAACTTCTTTCTTCACAGCATACCTATAGCAAAAGAAGTCTTGTTTGTTTCTTAACGTGTTTTATCCCAGTTTTTTTGTGAACACAGTATACATGTATTTTCTCCCAATATGATCTGGAAATAACACTGCACTAACAGAACTTCAAAATTAGGATGAAAAAGTTTCATCTCTAAATCTTTACAGGTTAGACCATCCCACTGGGAAGATAGAAGTAAGCGGTTTGGGGTTCAGAAGCCCAAACCAGTTTGTTCAGTTATCCTCTTCCTGTAAATCAAATACTGAGAGAATTAGATCCTAGCAGCTGGTGATGGTTGGAAAGGAAACAAGCCTTCCAATGGTAAAGTAGTACCCTTAGGATGATGAGAAATGTAACTTGAAGAAGGGCAATTGAGAGGAGCTCATAATGGGAAGAGGTTTTAAAGCTGTCCTGTTAAATGGAAAAGATGAACCTAATATGAGAAGGGAACTGTATTAAGTAGCAAGACAAATTTATTTAAGAACAACCCATAAGGAAGTAATAAGCTGACTAACTGCTTTCAAAAGCTGAAAGCCTGAACAGATGGGCTTCAAATTCCAGCTGAAAGGATTATCAAATATTCAGAGGAAAAAAAGACTCAAATGTTACCCTGCAAACACTGGAGAAATTAGTTTGACTCAAGTGGTGGGCCAAGTCACTACAAACATAGTAGAGAATCCGCAAGATCAGGAGCTTCTAGAAGGACATGCTCCAAAATAGCTAGTCAGATTTGGTCACTGAGCAAGCAAACTGGACATAGTATGTGAGCCTCCTTTACCAATTCTGTTCTTGAGACTGAACTCCGGAAGGAAACACTAAGATACTGAAAATTTTAAGCATCTTGATTCCCTGCTGCAGGTTGGGATTCTCCATTTGAATGGAGCCTAGCTGACCCTCATTCTCCTGACCACTAACTAGATACCTGAAACTGGCAAACCCTTCTGCTGTCCAAGACACTGGCTCCCAGTTAGCCTATCATATGATAAATATAGTCATTATCGTAACTAAACGTTATCCTTTTCATAGCATAGAGGAAGTGGATTAAAGACCCTTTGCTAAATGCAGAATCTGACCTATATGTGCCATACATTTCTTGATTCAGGAAATGAATAATTGAGGATTCAGTTACCTACCCATTTTCAGTAGCACTTACTACGTATGGTTGTTTCTCAAATTCTCTTGCTTTTGCCAAACAAGTTACAGAAGCAGTATGGCCAAAGAGAATTTCTTTAGATGAAATCTAGGAGAATAATACAATGGTTTAACTTAAACAGAGCATTTTCTGTATAAGCTACAAAGATCTAAAAAATAGAGATACTACTTGTAGATGTTATCAGTAAGTGACAATGTGTTCTATATTCTTGCATTCTTTAATGATGTTTCTGGGATGCACAGAAATGTGCAAAGACTATGCAGTTCGCACTCTGGCAGTATGAAGTACAGTCTTTGTAAATTCTTCAGAAGAAACAATTTCAAGACTACAATGAATACAGTGTCAAATGTAATACAACTGGTAATGTACAGAAACTCTGGCCCTTGCAGTACTACATACAGCAAAAATGGCAAAAGCAAAGTAGGGAACTGATATAGCAAAACTCTTAAGAATGTGCTTAATGTTTCAGTAACCCCTTTGATTCTGATGAGCTTCACTAAATGGTCATCTTAAAGGAAAGAGGTAGCCCCATTAAAAAACAAAAAACAAAAAAACCCTAAAGTTTCAAGCCATACTTAAGCTCAGATGATGTCAAAATCTAAAACAAAGCCATCCCTCTAGGAACACAGTCAAAACTTAGAATTGCTTTGACTCCATTCCATTTTGAGGAAAATAAATGTGAAAGAGTAGCAATAAGCCAGTAGGTTTGCAGCTTAATTATACCAAAAATATGTATTTGCAATATTTCATCTTACTACTTCCATCTTTTTACATGTTTTTCCATTAACTTGGTAGAGAGCTCTTTTTTTTTTTTATAAATAGGTGTTTAATCCTGAAATGTTAGGTCACACTCATCAATTGGTTTAAAGAAAGACACTTCACAGGATATGAATTAAAATAGTAGCATATATTTTATATTAATGTGAGTTAAAGCAGAACTCACAGCACAATTTCAAATTATAATTATACAGGTCAATGATCATCTATGAAAAGTTTTCTGAAGTCCACAAATAACAGGTTATTCATATAGGTATTTCAACATTTATAACTTTGCTTCATGAGTTTCCTATAACAAGTCTCACACTCTTTAATAATTAATTTAAGTGCAAGAGTATGGATAATTCCACTGTTGGTAATAAAAGAGAAAACTCCAATCCATCAATTTGGCAGACACAAACCTTTAATTCTGATGAAAGATCCCAGAGACATATTTGTCCCTCTTGACTTCCTGTAACAATAGTCTGCTGGTCATCTGTAATCATAATAGCAGTGATGCTGTGAGAGGGAGCAATTTTGCCCCACACTGCCACAGCCTGTACTGGTACATTCATAGCTGGCACCTGAAAACAGAAACAAGTCAAAATGATTTTAAGTCACATGTGATAAAAAAAAAAAAAAAAAAAGAAAACAGCACAACCAAGAGCAAAACACAATCAAATAACTGAATCAACATTTGATAAGGGGAGCTACAGAAAAGATGACATTTTGAAACATTTTCTAGTTGTTGTCAATATCTCACTAACACTTCCATTGAAATAGATACCCATTAATAGCTTATATGTACAATGGGACAGTGAGGTGATGTGCTGCTATTTTAAATTTCTGCAGTAACAAACGACCAGTGTTAGATACCAGTACTATCACAATACTGAAGTATCAGCAACAGGAGTCCCGTACTGTCTCACACAACCTGCCTTAGATCAGATGGGCACATCATTATTTTTGCCCTAAGTTTTTATTGGTGGAGTGCACCGTGCCTACTTTCTACCTCCTAACAAGCAGTGCTGTTCAAGCTCAGCAGCAAACTATAGGATACGGATGACAGGGGAACAGGGGTATCAGTAAAGAGTCTGTGGTTCCTATAAGGATAAAGGAAGACAGAAATGGGGTGCTAGAAGGACAGAATGGGAGGTGGGTCAGGGACAGAAATGACACCTAGGACAGTGAAAAATTCTACCCTCAACCACTGAGCATAATCTCCTACAGATGTGACCCAAAAGGAAGATGGGGGCAGACCTGCCGTTAGTAAACATGTAGTAGAACAAGACTGTTCATTCTTCCTAACTCATGTATCCCTTGTCTGAAAGATTTGTCAGCATAATAGGTTTCAACCACTACTAAGAAAAAATAGTTTATTGGAATTGTCCAAAATGACTGCTAGTCACGAGATTCTTATGAACTGCATTTCTAGGAAACTATTACAGTGTCTGTTCAGACAACAGTACTTACAAGATCTTCCTTATTAAACAAGTTCTACTTTTTTTTGTTTCTAAAAATTGATGCACATTTGTTTTAAAAACACTTCAGCTTACTAGCTGGACTCTGTACTAGTTTTGCTTCAACCAAAGTCTTGGGGAGGAAACTGCTGTCTCAGTCACCTCACAAGCCTTCTGCCTTTTTTTGGTTTCAGTGTTTTTCAATGCTTTTTCATTCATGTGTTCCTAAGTGTAACATATTTACAGAGTACTCCCAATGGCATCCTCAAAATGAGAAAACATGTGAACATAAATAATTTGATATTTAAATAGTCAGTTTATTTAAAAATATATATTTGTCCTGTTAAGACTTCTCAGGGGAACTAGTGAAACACCCAAATGTGTCTCCTTTGGGAGAACTTATGTAAAAGTAATGGTTACTAAAAAACTTACACAGATGAACAATGTCTTTATCATCCTTGTCTTTACATGAAGAATCCTACAATGAACTGGCAGTGTCTACCTGGGCCCAAATGCAAACTATTTCCATATCCCATACCCTTTGCAAAGATATTTGAAATGAAACAGGTTCCAGTAATAAGGTGCTAGAACAGTACAGATGGAAATAGTCAACCAAAATAGAAGACAGCAAAGCTGAAATATCAGGAGACAAACTGGGAAGTACAAAATATGTGGCAGCAGATAACAGCCAGCTGAAGGAAGTAATGTAACAATCATGCAAGAGCATGAAATTGCAGTTCCTATGATACTTCAGAAGACTACAAAGCAGAAAAGAAAACAGAAGCAGCCTTTAAGTTTAAAGAAAATTTAATTCGAACTATTGCTAGATTCAACACCATAGCAGCTGAAGGGAGACAATAAGTATCTTCCCTACTATTAAATAAAAGCCTTAAGTGACACAGAACTATGGGAATGGTCTTAACTGCTGACAACATGAGATGAAGAGCTCAGCCACTGAGAAAAAGAACAGAAAAGTCTGGCATGGCAATCAATGCAGAAGGACTGGCCATGCAACCTCAACCAGAATGTCAAAGGCAAAGGAAGAGGAACCTGAGAAATTAATTATGAGATCAAGAGTGTATTAGGCTAAAATAAACTTACTTTTAAAACAAAATTTTGGTATAGGCCCACAGTGTGGGCCTATAATATATTGCATATTCTAAATGCTTTAGAATTTGATTTTTCTTTTATTTTTTTTTTTTAATTTCTAGTCATATGAAGTATTATGTTTACTGAAAAACAGTAATTTTCTTCTTTGTTTTATGCCCCGAATAGTTGTTCTACCTAAACTTTAGAGATACATTTCTAGATATGGGCTAGGCAAAGAAAATTCACCTTTCATAACATTTATAGAATGATGGCTGCAAAGGTAATATTTGAATGATAAGCCAAATCCTAGGTCTTTAAGATGTGCCTTTTTTTCCCCCTCCTGCATATCATATAGTCATTTATACTTGTGCTATGGGAATGTTCCATTGGTGTAAAACACCATAAGGTAGCAGAACCCAGTTTTGTACTGCATTGAATATGAAGCTGTAAGTTGTATTTTTCTCTATCAGAAATATAGAATCAAGACAAATATTCTTAGTTGAAGACCCACTGCTGAGTAAGAGATGCATAAGAGAACTTAACACAAATTAAAACAAATTACTGGAATTTGCTAATATACAATCTCTATTTGTACACATTTGTTTTAGACCACATTAAGGACAAATCATTCTAAATTCATTTTTATATAAATGAAGGTTTACAAGAACCTTTTGACCTTTTTACATTCAGCCTTTGTGGCTGAAGATTGAGAAAAATAGAAAACAGATTATATTAATTTGTGTTAATATAACTGTCCCTAACTACTCCCCCTTGCTTAATTTTTTTTAGATCAAGATATTTAAATGCACAAGATAGAAGTACTTTGCATAAAGGTTTTTATTCAAAGAATACCACGACCCTAGAAATATTGTATACTTACATGCACATACACTCACTCTTTGTCTATTAGCTTTATCAAAACTATTTATTGAAGGTGATAACACCTAGAGCAAAAAGAGTTCATATAAATCAGACTATTCCTTTAGAAAGGTAAAATCTGTTTCCACAAAGTCAAATATTGCCAAAGGCATATCTCGCCTGCATGTAAGCTTATCAACACATGCTAAATTCTTCCAGCTCTGCCCACTCAAGCACATCTGATTTGTTGTATTAGCTTGTAATCCAACTTTAAATCAGCTTCCTCAGTCCAGCTCCCTATTTCTCCCTGCTTGTAACCTAATACGCTTCTGTTTGTCCTGCTCTCATTTCACTGCCAAGAAGTACTCCCTCATGACTGTCAAAATAATATTCTTGTTCTTAGTTAAAACCATTCCAGTTCATTCCACCTCTAACTTGTCATATCTCCACCCTGCAGTCTCTAGTTCTGTGAACATTTCACACCGGAATCACAGCACAAGCCTCTTGGAAAATTATGCCAATCTGCACAGCTTGAAGGACCTCAGGTGTGCTATTTTAACTACTTTGGATCATTGTACAGTACATCTTTTTTTGTACATCTTTTTCATTTGTACATCTTCCATTTGAATAGCTAAATACAACTATAGTTCTAAATACATTGCAGCTTCTGTAGAAGTCTAATCAAAAACTTTAAGGCTGCAAAGAGGAGGAGGTATGCTTTTGGACACATTTCTAAGCATATATTTACAGCCATTTGAAGTGAAAGATGTGGGTTGTGTTTTGCTCCCACTGAAGTCTATGGCTTACATTCTCTATTTGGCTTTATGTTTATAGGTAGAGCTTACTCAAAAGCATAAAGGAAACTCTTCTGTATGAGATACATGGAACAATATTAAACTATTAGCTACAGTTATAGGAATCACTTCTTCATACAAGAAGACATCCTGAATTTTGAAAGCAAACTTCAGAATTCTTCAGTTCTAATGTGTCAAGGTCCTTAGAACTAGGAGGTGAACTTGCCTTAGATATAATCTTAAACAGTTAATGTAATAAAACATGAGTTTTGACAGAAGCCTCCTTCACAAAACATCCCATAATGAGAGGTACTGAATAGTAATTTATAGCTTATGTAGGGAAGGAGGGACTTTGTATACCTTCCCTGACAAAAAAAAAAAAAATAGAAAAAAATCACTCTACAGATGACAGTCATCCCATCAGAAAGTCTTTTCTGGCTTTGTATTGTTACTTATTTTGTTTTCTGTGTAGCCTGTACAATACAAAGTCAGTTGTTTCAAAATCCAGGTAAATGCTCAACAACTGGGGGGGGGGGGGGGGGGAGGAAGAGGAGGGTGGAAATCCATTTACAGACCTGAAAGTATTAAGAGATAAGCAGTTTACTGTTTATATTGTATTCAAAATTCAAATATTTAGAGAAGGTTAAGTTGGCCAAACTGATTAAAAGTAGCTATTGAAAAATTTTATAAAAGCAACATGCATCTATCAAAATGCTATTTGCCCAAACAGCAATATCCTTGATGGCCACATGAAACAGCATGTCAGCTATTTTACCCTCTTTAGCTTGATCATTGTGGTGAAGTGTTAGGAAATGTTTTAAGCAGAGCCTGGTAGGTTTTGATAACAAATTCCTAAGGTTTGTGTGTTCCTAACCCAGCTCATTCTCCTATTCCTCTCTATTCTGTATCTGACATTCTATCAACATTTTTGTAGTTAGTGAAACAAATATTTTACTTAAATGTAACAAAACAGAATGCAAGTCAAAGCTATCACAAATTTCTCAGAATTTACTTTAACCTGTAAATACTGCACTCTCCTTAAGAATGATGTGTTATCTCCAGAAATTAGCAAAGATATTTGTTCCAGAACTAAAAGATTACACTCACTGTCCACAATATAGAACAAGTCCCTCTAATAGCCACAATTAAGATACATTGCATTTAGAGCTAAAAACTTTTAAAGGTGCAGAAGTGACATAATGCTGCCTTTTTAAGCTTGCTGATACACCACAATGCCCATGCTGCTGGTCCCAACTTTGCTATTTACATAAGCTGTTATTCAGAATCTTATATCCATGAATCTGAAAATACAGCTCAACAATATTTTGCAGTTTGTGAAACAGCAGGGTGCATGTAATGGAATAAGTTAGAAAAGAAATGAAATATGAGGAAGCTTAAGTGAGAAACAGGAATAAAACAGAGAGGTAGAGGCTGCAGGGAAGAAAGCAGAGAGGATAGTGGTAGGACATGAGGTTAGGTAAATTAAAATGGAATGATAACCAAAGAAATAACACTAAACAACAGGACAAAGATAAGAAATAAGTTTGAAGTAGTTAATAGCGACAACTTCAAACCAATTAGTATTCAGCATATTACACAGTAGATATAACTGTCTCCTTTAAGATGTACATTCAACAGAAAAAAATGATTTTATACTTCAAGTAATTAATAGCTCTAATCAGATGTTGGGCTACAATTAAAATACTTCAGTCAGACATCTCTATTTCCCACTACTTTGTTCTAATGTATTCTGCCAGGACTTGCATTATTCCACACTTCTCTCTCTACTTTGTTTTGGTGGTTTCATCCCCCCACATTCATCCTGGAGGTCCTGCCAGCCTGCCACTAACTTTCAGTTTAAGATTTAACAGGACTTGCTTGGAGACCTGGCAGAACTACACACTAGTCGGCCAGAGGAGTCACTGCTGAGTGACCAGCAGACCTCCCCTGCAGTGTGAATGTGCCGCTTTACAGTCCAAGAGAGCAAGATACCAGGACCAGGAATCAATACAGACCATTTTAACTAGCAAGAACCACCTAGTAATAGTTCGTTTGTATTTCTTGAACGAGTGACACAAGAAACACTTATTTCATTCCACACAATAATTTACCACAATCAGAAGGAGCACAGTAAGGGCAACACCATCTCCCAGCTGCTGATTACATCAAAGGTTTGCAGCACAAATTCAATTTTATGATGTTAATCTCAGCCTGCCACTCAGAAATTTTCTCTGAGGGATATGATTTTTCTCTGGATTTCATTTTAAGAATGATTTTCTTCTTCTACAATCAATAAAGATATGTTTTCATCAAAAGACTCTATCTTGGCAGAATTCAATTGGCCATTTCAAAACCTTTTGGTGACACAATATTAATTAAAATAGTTTATGTTGCTCCTAAACTGGAAAACGGGGGCAGTGAAAACAAGCAACTCAGAACCCTTGTACTCTACACACCGTAATAAGGTACAATAGAATAACCTACACCTCCTTGAAGTTACTGCATTACCCCATAGCCTATTATTTAAAGCTTACTAGACAAGTGTCACGAGATGCTCTTTGGCCAAGTGAAAAAAAATCAAAATACATGGAAAAATATAAAAAAAACACTTCCTTTTACTGTCATTAAAGAGTAAATGTTTCAGTAAATGCTTCAACAACAAAATCAAGGATCTAGTAGCTGTGTAAACATTGTTTGACAACAATTAATGCACGTGAGCTAAGAAACTTGTTTTTAAACCACATATTAAGAGATCCTGTGTACATGCAGTTTATCTGGGGGAAAAAGAGTACATTATATGAGTGTTTGGAACCAGGTGTCATTTAAAACCACATTTCTTTTTATTGTCTGAATGTCCTATCAAATACAAGACTAATTATCTATAGAAAATTAGATGTTTAAGCATCTTAGTCCTACCTGAATTAAGGTAGAACTTCCTTAAGCATACAAATAGCATCAGTTAATTCATCTTCAGTGGAGTTACTCATACATGTATTTAAATGGCGAAAAGCGTTACTTATGTGGGTATTTAATCAGGGAGGTTTTATGAGAAGTTCACTCCTCCAGTTCTTACAAGAAAGTATATATAACAGAAGTGGGACACCAGTATCTGCAGATATTAAACTCAGATTTCTACAAAGTTGCACCTAATTTTAGCCTTAGCTTTTCTATACCTACCTTTATTAAAAAATAAGTTTTCCACATGGAAAAAGTGCTGCTTCCTTGTGCCAGCAAAGAGACAGCTTCTTAGACTTCCCTATTAAGTTCTTTTGAAGAAAGTCTTTTATGATCTTTAAGGAACTAGTGATTCCCACAAGCATCACAGGATCTGCTAATGTAGCTCCAACCCCAAGTTTATGGCCTATATGCCTTGGAGAACAGAGAATAACAAACAATGTCAAGAATTCACATAGATGTAAGCAAAGTCATATATAATCTGCAATAGGTTTGATGTACTTTGACTTTTATGACATACCACAGATTCTGTAACAAACTAGCCATAACTAAGCCTACAGAATTCTTTTTTCTTTACAGTACTTTAACAGAAAAGAAAATCTGGCAAGGTCAAGATACTTTAAATCTGAAAAACTCTCAAACCGAAAGTCAGTGAACATTCATCAAAGCTTTGGTCACTCAGTTTGTCTTCCTTAAGTGACCTTGAAGTCACTGAAGATAAATCTGTTCAACAAAGGGGTGGTGTTTTTGGTTCAGCTACACTGTACTCCAGAATGTTGAAATAACAAACAAACTTGGAATCAGATGCTGGAAATAAAACAATTAAAACATTTCACCAGCCTTTGGCTTTTATATAGTGATGTAAAAATCACTAATTAGCATTGTAATCAGTTGCATCATAATGAAGACTTCTAACCTATGACAATTCAAGAACTTCTTATTTTTCCATCCTGCTCTTTGAATACTCTTTATGACTAAACAGGCCTCTATGCAGTGTTCTGTGCTATGGGGCATGCAACTGTTTAGTGTAAACAAGTCTAAATGATTTATAATATTTACACAGCCAAATAAGCTTAAGTACAAAGACACTGTTTATTATGAAGCAAAATCAAAGTCCAGAATTGATTCAATGCATTGCAATGCATGGATTGCACTTCTTGTTACAGTAAAGTTCTAACTTTAACACCAAGAACACGTAATGAGAATTCCACTCTTGTTGTGAGATCAGGCCTGCCAACCAACCCCAGCCTTATGAGCAGAACTAGCTCACAACAACAGCTGTTTCTGTAATGAGCATTCCTAAAGGATCATAGTTCTTTACCAAAGGCATCAATGTGTTAAAATTCCCTGATCTATTAAGAAAACACTGCTATAATAATCCTAGCAATTACTAGAAAAGTAACAACAGAAACATGAGAGCGATGGCATTGCAATGCCCTATACTTTGTGCCTACCCAACAGGGCATCGCTACAACAGCGCAAAAGCATTCTGCCATTCCCATGGCCTACTATTTCCTGTCCTGCTGCGTCCTCCCATCACTGCGTTTCTCCAGGAAGACCAAGGAAGAAGCGCACTCTCCCACAGCCAAGGGAAGGTATGCATAAGTCTCCTGATTTTCAGGGACTGGGAACACTCACATGGGACAGCTAACACCAAGTACCAAAGCTCCGATATAATACAGCTTTACAGGTATTGTAAGCGACATACAGATGGACCAGAAACAGTTGAAAAGAAGTCTGCTCTACTCAAACAAAACTCCCAGGAGCTCGGACAAAGCTGGACCCAGGATCCTGACCAAGCACTGCACCTGCACCGGCCCCAGCCCCCTCGAGGCACCCTCATGGCCGCCACCGCTCCAGCTCAGGGCACCAGCGGCAGGACGCGAAGCTCCGACCCCCACGGAGCGGTGGGGGTGCCCGAAAGGCGCACCGCAAGAGCCGAGCGAGCACAGTCCCTTACCTCCAGCGGCTCCCAGGCACCACGAGCGAGGGCAGGACCGATCAGCAGCAGCGAGAACGCGGAGGGGATAGGGAGGAAGGGAGCGGGCGCCGGTTTTATCCCGCTCAGGGGAGGCTGCACCCGGCTCTGCACCCGCCCTGGGCGCGGGACGGTGGATGGAGCAGGGGCGGCTCGCACCGCCCTGTCACAGCCCAGTGGTTCTCGCTGAGGTGAAGAGCTTAAACGGTAGTTTTCTGCCTTAACAGTTCTATTTATTTATTTATTTTCTGAGTGGGGGTGAGGGGATGGACGAAATGATAAGAAATAGAGACTAGAGGGGAAGAAAAACAAAAACAAAAAAAAGGTTAAACCTGGGCTACAGCTACCCTGCCAGCCCCCTCACAGGTCTATAGGCGTTGTTAGAGGCACGGCCAGACTGTACCCCACCTAGGGAGAGTCTGAGATGTACAAACCCACCCTTCAGAAGTTATCCCTTAACGATGATGAGGTACAGGTAGTTTTTCAACCATCTGTCCTGCTTCAAGCATGGCATAAAGAGCATTTCTATTTGCAGCGGCTGATTGAAGGTGTGGCTGTAGATGAGGGTAGCTCTCCCGCGATGCAAGCCTTCAGACAGGTGCTTCTAGGGTAAACTTAATTTCTGACAGGTGGAGGAATCCGCAGCTGCTGTGGGGGCTCAGTATGAGAGGGCAGTTAGCTGCAGAATTAGGCTCTTCATGGTGTGAAGGGGGTATCAATCATTAGGGATGTAAACTTCTGTGCTTCAAATATTTATGCTTGAAAATAGTAACTTAGTTAACTTATACTAAATAAGTTGTGAGCAGGAGAAAAGAAGTGAATAAAGAAATTAGTTTTCCTTTGGTTCACAAGTCTGCATTTTTCTTGTTCAAGTATCAGATATAAAGCAACTATAGCCTGTGAGATGTTCTGTGAGGAGCCAACGTGGACTAGCTGCAACATACAACTGTGAGTTTATCTTTTCTGCTGAAAGTCTTAATTACAGCTGAGCTAACAGAATAATGAGAGTTATCATTATTTAGAAGTTTATGTTGCTAAGCACAAAACTTCCTGAATTTTCTTGCTTAATATTTGCTGAAATGATATTGAAATGCGCAGGGAGGGAGTAGGGTGCAAAAAAGTTTATGTATATCTTTAATGCCTATACTTCTTCTGTTTTAAGGTAAGAGCTAACTTTCTGTTTTAATACAGTAACTAGTATGGTGGCTTATTTGTGCTGTGTCTCTGTTTTGGTAATATCAAATTCATGCTTATACTAAGAATGCTTCGCTGGGGTACCTGCTTTAAGATAAAAAAACAATGTTTTAATAAATTATATGTAATTATAGTCTTTGTCTATTGGCTACATTGTAAGGGTAAGTAAACACAAGGAAAAGAAGCTTATAAAGCTTATGAAACTTTGAAACGCATTTCTCTCAAACTTCTCTTTGAAACACTTTCTCTCAAACTCTTAGTGGCTCTGCAGTTCAACATTCAGATTATTATTTTTTTAATGCTATAAGATTAAAGTCTTAAGAAATTAAACTTCTTATACTGCTTTGCTTCATAAATGATTTTATGTAGGCAAATTGTAAACCCTGAAAATAGGCCTTCAGTGGAAAGGCTGATGTCTGGTTAGGTTGTATTGCTACAAGTGGCAGACACGGGCATGGAGTATCTTAGGTGAAAGCTTACAAAGGCACCTCCTTTCTGGGCTTGCTTCTGGGGATTTCTGTAGTAGTCACACTGAAAGCAAAATGCCCTAATAGCAGTCTATTTATTTATTTATTTTTAAAGAACTCTTACCCTCTAAAGCCAGTGGCATTAACTGGCATGTCAGCAAGTTTTTGTAGTCAGAAGATGCTTATGAAGAAAGTGAAATAACTGTATGAGACCAAGTAATACCAATAGATAAACCAAATATTGCTTATGCTCCTTGGAACTTCTTGGGACTGCAAATTCTGCTTGTGAACTTAAATAAATGATTTTTGACAGACTTCTTAATCATTGATAGCTGGAAGCTCCCATAAGAAAAACTGCTATGTACATTTTAGCACTATTTGACACAAACACCTTAATTATATTTAATTATATTTCATGCTCAAGAGGGTCATGGGTGTTTCAACATCATATTTGTTATTTCAGTAGAAAAAAAAATGCTATAAAAGTAATACCCATATTTATCATCATTTAAATACACTTACAGTTTCATGGTAAAAATATTGATTCTGAAATCTGTGTGTATTATATATGTGTGTGCACAGCAATCAGTATTCCTTTAAAAACAACGATTTAGTTGTATAAATCATGCAACTTATTCTTAGCTTTCATAACATTTTTAAGATAATGTAGTTTGAAGTTGAGGATTTCAAGAGATCACTATTTGCTGGAGGAAAGGATATTGGCTTATGTGGGCTGCTGGTTCTCCACAAGGAAGGCAAGAGCAATTCACAGGTGGAAAAGTGTGCAAAGGAGAAGAGTGTAGGTATTGAATACCGTAGGCTTAGAAAGAATCTCTTCTGAAGAAAATTAGATCTTTTTTTTTTCCCCCAAACGTGAACATTGGTTGCTAGCTGTAAACATGATAATTGAGGAATACGTGTTGTTATAGGATAATTGCATTTTATTCCAGCTCTTTTCCTAACTTTCAGTCTGTCAGGAAAACTACTCCATTTCACAGTTATTTATTACAGGAGGTTTTTTGGTTTGTATGTGTGAGTTTTTCTGATTGTTTTGTTGAAGATAGGTTATTCTGGCTTGGGGAGTTAGCTGAGTGCTAGCTCCAGAAATGTCGTGTTCCACTGCAGACTTGGGCACTGGTCTATGCAGAGACATTATGTAGCTAACTTCTGTGTTAGTCTCTTATTTTCCCCAAATGTAAATTGCTAAAAATAAGTCTAGCTTTCATTATGATAAAAATTGAAATTTGTTGATGAAATGCACTTAAAAAAAAAAAAAACTATGAAAGAACTTCAGAGATGTTTTTTTGACAAACTAGACCCATTTCTTATACATTTTTCATTAAAATGCCAGTTCACTAATTTATTAACCTTTCAGACCATATAATAATTTCAGTCTTTATTTACATTATTAGAATCCAGTAACTAATTTATCCATTTCTTCTATCTTCATCTCCCTCAAAGTACTTTCCCTTTTACTTGAATGAGCAGAAAAGTAACTTCCATGAACTTAAGTATTCATCTGTTCCCAATTAGCAATCAAGGGATATTTTTGAGATGAGTATGTGCAATTAGTGTTTAACAACATTGACAGATGTTGTGTACTGAAATATGAAACAGCATTAGCTTAGATTACATTAGGGAAGAATTGTCAAGTAGTGAGAATTTATTGTCTTATGTATGCTGTGTTGAAATATTGATGAAAAATGTTACATTTGTTGTCAATTGAGCTATTGTTTTGCAAAGATAAGCTATGGGTATGTTCACCAGTGGATGTACTCCTGGAGACTGAAGGATGCTGTTGATTAAATTGACTCTTTTATGATGGGGAAAAAAAAAAATACAATTTCACCAATTGCTATAGGTTAAATAGATGATACAAGTCTCTACTTGTTATATTCTGGAATTAAAGCATGGCAAAATTCAACCTCTTGTCATCTCTGTCTAACTGGATTTGCAAACTGTACGGATTTCTTTCAGATGAAATGCTATAATTTCTAGGTCCGACAATAAGGCAGCATCACAATATCATTAATTTGAAAATATAAGGAATAAGTCTTACTTAGTGAGCATTAGATGTAATATACACTTTGAGACGCTAGAGGGAGCCAGAGGAAAGCATGGAGAGAAAAAAGACATTAATTGCCTAATTTTCCTGAGAATGTGGAAATGGGATTTGTTATTGTGGAATTGATGTTGAACTAGATCAAGCTTGTAGAAGCACCTTTCTTACTATTTTTTCCATATCATAACTATTAAAAAAAACAAAACAAAACACTTTCTTGCCATAATTATTATCTTTATGCTTTGCCTTGTAAGATTATCTGTACAAAATGGATTTAGTTTTTGTGAGTTTCGTTGTTGTTTCTGAGGAAAAATGTGGAATACTTATTTCTATCATGGTACACAATATGAAAATTTTGAAGCAATTTTTCCCAATTTTAAAATTCCTTTAAATAAACAACATAACCATATGTTTTCCTGTAGTCTTGCTCCTGTAAGGTCTTATAATGTGGGCAATAATGAAAGCTGTATTTGTTTCTAGGAGTTTCTCACTTTCCTGGGATGTGAGAAACCATGAGAAAAAAAAAAATAATAATTTGCACTGTCTTTCTACAGAAGTGTGACAGGAAATATCTTGGTTTCAGGTAAATTTGTGTTTAATGTGACTTCAGGGCATAAAGTGATTTTAAAAGAAAAGTCTGGAAATGCTGAGCTATTACAGATATTTAGAAATACTGATTTTAGAGGGAACATTTATGAACATAAGATATGGCTATATTTCCAAACAGACACAGGATATAAATACTTATCAATAGTTCCACTGCTTTTCTTTTAATACTAATATTTTAAATCTAGTTGAAAAGAAGATTACAGCTTTAAAGAGAAGTCAAGAGCCCATACAGATTAAATGCAGCCATTGAATGTACCAATGCTTTGAAAAATTTTCCATGCTTAATAGCATGCATATGAAATGCAACTGATTTTAGGCTCCTGATATTGGATTTTAGGCTTCAAGGTTGACTGGGTTAGAAAACATTCTGCTAAATCACAGGATAGTGATAGTAAGATGAAGACTCTTATTTTTATCTGTTTGCTTAGAAACCTTTTTTTCCTCCTCTCTTAAGGGTGTACCTTTTTAATATAGAATAATTCCATTGACAAAAAGAAAGCTAGCTAGGTCCAAACACTCCACTGAATCTCAAATTCATCAGGATGCTTTTATGTATAGAAACAATGGAGAAAAAATAAGCACCCATTTCAGATCTATAATTAGGAAGAGATACAGAGAGAAAATTACCAAATATGGTGAATAAGATGAGTAACATTCAACATCCCAAAGAAAGAAATTTTATAAAAACAAGGTACTATTTTTATAGTCATGAAAACAAAATTTAAAAACTAGATATGTTTACTCTTTTCTTTGGATGTGTACTTAAGAGAAGAATGACATTTTTTTTCCATCCCAAACTTTTCACATGTAGTATGAAATACTGCAATGTATTTTATCTTTTTTTTTTTTTTGTGCATGTGTGACAAGACAAAGATTTACTGTGTTTAAAGAGGTAAATAAGTCTGAATACAACCGAAAATCACTTGGGAATGAGAAGGCATTGCTGTCCTCCAGAACAAATTGGAATTTCCACTAGGTGTCTCTAAAATCAAAGTAGTCATGAAGGTAGAAAGCATGTGTGCATGTGAATGCGTGGAACAGAGATGCAAGAGACTGGAAAACATTTTCTTTCCTAGGAAACAGACCTGTATTTTTAACAATCACTGACTGAGCAGAAGAGTTTGGCTGTTGGTGAGCAAAGGTTATTTGGAAACCTTTATTCCTCC